AAAATTGTTAAAAATCTTCAATCAATCTCAAATAAATACTCATTAACCCTTTTAAAATACTTCTACATATCAAATAAATACCCAATTGGTCTTTTAAAATCAGCAATAAATAATTATAAATTTTAATTTTAATTATCAAGGTCTCAATTTGATTCCACAAATTAATTTAGCAAAAAAAAAAAAAAGAACCCAATAACTTACCTTCCTATACTTCAATTTAATTGATTCAGTAACTTCAATTCCAAATTGGCTCGAAAACTATAATTATATAATAGTTTAAATTTAAATTCAATTATTTTTTATTATACTATAAAAATTATTAAAAATTTCAATAAATCCTGAATAAATACCAAATGGCCTTTTAAAATCTCTTTAAAATTTGAAATCCAATAGTCATCTTAAAAAAATTCATTTAGAAAGTTGAAACTCAATTAAATTAAATTAATACACTTTCAAATTTCTTGGTGAGCATAATAAATATAATTGCTTAAGAAAATGATTGTACACCCTTCGGTTCAACATATTTTTTGACACTCCCATTAGTGATTAAAAATATAATATAAATATAATCAATTTAACCGGTTCATGTATCCTGTATGCATGATTGTATCATTATTTGTTTTTAACTTCAGACAAAAAAATAGTGATTTTTTAATAAGTGTGTCATGCATTGTGTTGAACCGGAATGTATACCAATCACTATCTAATTGCTTAACATTATTTTAATTATATCAAATTTCTTACTAATTGTTCTCAAATTCCACTTCAATTATCCTACAATAATCTAACATCTACTTCTACATATTATTAAAGTTGAAAACAACTTACCCAAATATGCAATTAGATTTCTACTTTAATTATATAATATGGTTAATGAAAATGTATATTATATTATATTCAAAATGGCACTTCGCTAATTGATTCTTCTTTACTCCATTGTTTTAGGACTAAAAGAATAATGATTAAGTTGTAAATAATTATAGATGAATGTATTTCTTAATAATAATTGCTAAAATATCAAGAATTAAAAATTAAAAATTCTATTAATGTAGATCATGCAAATCAATTTTTATATTAATATAATACTTATAATCTTTTAATAAAAAAACTTTATTTACTAACATATATTTGACGATGTTAAATTCTGTGTAATTAACGAAGTGGTTAGATCTACTAGAACAATCTAAAAATTAACATGTATAATTTATATAAATAAAACTTTTAATCTAACTATTAATTTTTCAAAATATTAATTAGAAAATGAGGTTTTAGGAGTATCCTCCAAAAAAAATTGGGATAACGATTTGTAAAACCCTTTTTCCTTTTCTTATTTATCTTTAACAAAATGATTAATGCATACTCTAATTTAATATACTCTAATTCGACATACCTTTCGACACTCATCTAGTTTAATGATTAAAATATATAGTCAATTTAACTAGTTTTTACATATTGTACCATAACAAATAATGATTTCTTAATAGGTATGTTATGTAGTATGTTGAATTAAAGGCAGTACTAATCAGTGCCTTTATCTTTAATGAATTTTTTTAACCTATGTCATAAGCCACGTGGCTTAAAGATGCACTTATTGCACCTTTTCATCATTAATGGTACGCGAAACATTTTAATTAGATATTCAATAAAACTAAAATTAACTTTTATTTTTTTTCACACAAATTAGTGAAGAAAAAGTATAATAAATGTTACTTTTAACATGCGCCTAAGGCACAAATTAGAAAATTCCATCTATAATTTAATAGAAAGTTATCAAAATTTAAGATTTAACTATTCCCAATTTCCCTAAAAATTCTTAAAGTTAGCTTATTTCCATTGTTTGACCAAGAAATATATAACTACTACGTACTACTGACCAAATACAACATTATTGTTTTTTCTTTTCCGTCATTTTTTTGCTCTTTATTCTTATATGTAGAATAAAGCAAATATATGTTTTTTTTTTTTTAATCAGCAAAACAAATATGTGATCTAAAGTCGAGAGATGTGTATGCTGGTAAGGTTGTAAGTTTCGTATGTGGGAAATTGCGAGACTTAGAACACAACCACTTTGTGCAAAATAGAGCAGTGGAAGCTATCTTTCTGGCCATTAAGAATGGAATCCCAGAGATTGCGCTTGAAATTGCAAAAGCTAAGGAAGACATATTGTGGACCAGCACTGATCCTGAAGATTCAAGAACCATGTTTGCATGTGCTATAGCACATCGTCAAGAGGAAGTGGCAAAATTTCTTTATGAACGTAAGGCAGATAAATTTTATGACAAATTTTATGACACTGATGAAGATGGAAACAATAACTTACATCTAGCAGCAAAGTTGGCTCCTCATTTTCAACTAGATCGCATCTCTGATGCAGCTTCGCAGTTGCAAAGTGAAGTACGATGGTTTAAGGTAATCAATGTTTAGTTTTTATCTCTATTTTTTTTTTTAATTAACTAGTAATTCCTTATTTCATATACCATGCAATTATCAAATTATTTTAATAAAAACAACACATCATTCTTAGAAAATTGAAGAAGTTAGTTCAATTGAGTTAATTAACCCTATTAATTTTTTAATTTTTTATAAGATGAAAATTTATGCCATATTTTATCTTAGATAATCTGATTTCTTCAATTTTGATTTATTATTATTTTCTCACTTGACCAATGCAGTCGGTGAAAGCAATTGTTCCGCGGTTCTACAACGAACAGAAAAATAAAAATGGTGAAACTCCTTATCAAGTGTTTGCTAAAGAACACAAGAACTTGTTAAAAGAAGCTAAAGAACGGATGAAGAAAACTGCAGAATCTTCTACAGTCATAGGTGCTCTTATTATCACCATTATGTTTGCTGCGGCTTTTACTGTTCCAGGTGGGAACGATCAAAATACAGGCTTCCCCATATTTTTGAACACAACGGCACCGGCAGAATCTTTTACGGTTACACCGTTTAAGGTATTCATAACATCAGATGCAATTTCCCTTTCCACTGCAGCCAGTTCAGTGTTAATATTTTTGGGGATTCTCACTGCACGTTACGCTTATGAAGATTTTCTTATATCCTTGCCCATGAAATTGATTTTTGGTCTTTCTTTTCTCTTCATCTCTATTGCAACAATGACAGTAGCATTTTGTGCTACTCTTTGCATGATGCTACGACGTCAACAGAAGGAAGTCATTCCAATAACTCTGTTTGCTGGTATTCTTATCATGTGCCTTGTGGTGATGCAGCTTCCTCTTCTTCTTAAGAATATGGCTTTAACTCCTAGGCCAAACATCTTTGATAGAAAAACCGCAATAGCACAGTTGTTTGAATTTCTTGCGGGTAAAATTCCTATCGTTCCATCTGTGGTAAAAGTAGTGGTCACTAAACTGATCCGACGGATCTAAGAAGCAGAAACGGATGGTCATGGTTAAAGTGTATTTTTTGTTTTTTAGCTATGTGGAGCAATTAAACGACTCTAGTCTATATATTTTCTAGTTGGAATAAATACTTGGTGGATCGATGTATATTCTTTCCAGATTTCGAAGTCAAATTCTTCTTTGCAAATTGCATTTTTATTGCTAATTCATTTTCCACCTAAGTTCAATAATTATATAATTAAAAGTTTTGTATATTTAAATTTAGAGACATCAGCAAACATAACAGACATCATTTAGAGCATGGTTTTGCAGAGCTTTTAAGTAATTAACTTCTTTAAAAGCCATTTGCTGTCTCGTAAATTTCTAGTTTTTTTGGAAAAAAATTTTAAGTATGGCCTATAATCAAGTTTTAAAACAAGCACACAATCAGGTCGAGTTCAAAATAAATAAATAAATAAAAGATTCAAAGCCTTGAAGAAAGCCAGATTGTTTTATTTAAAGATGTCAAGAACAATTTTACAGATGTGTAGAATTTTGCAGAATGGGCCAAGCCCCAGACCACACCAGAGAACTCGGAAGGGCTCCATAGGTCTTGATTGGACCATGGATTGCCCCGATTTACTACCTTGTTTGATCGGGAATGGCGCCATCGTCTAGATCTCAGGTGGTAGAGGCAACGAAATGGCTGTAGGCGAGTTTTTTTTTTTACCGAAAAAAAAAATCAGGATATCCTTTTTATTAATAATGTCATAATATTTTATTAGTATGTGATATAATATAAGTTTTAATTTTATTAAATTTATGATTTAATTATTATTAAATATTTTAATATTTTTAATGTTGCACACTTTTTTTTTTCTTCATTTTATTCTTTAATTTCATTTACTCTTTTATTTCGATTATCACAAAATACATAATCCGTGTCAGCAGAGGGGTTTCCAAGTCATTGAATGAGTTCCAGGTAACTAAAAGCTATTAAGGGAGGACTTGATTTTTGAATGTTACTTTTTTCAGGGTTGAAAACCCTTCTTCAGGGTAATAAGAATTGGCTTCGAGGACATATATACTTATTCAGTCCTGGCTCCATACCTGGCTCCATGTCTGAAAAGTATGGAAAGGCCTATTTCATTTGCACTGACCCTGCTTCAATGCTGGTGCCTTGCCCGTGGTGGGTGAAATTTGGAGAGCTGTACAAGTGATTCAGCATGATAACTAGTGATTATGTAATACAACATCACAGATAATCCTTTTGTTTTTCCCTCCTTTCAATTTCTCTGGAGAAGAAGTTGGAAAATCAATATTGTTTTGTAATATATCATTAGTGGAAAGAATTTTTCTATTACTTCTATTAACGTTTTTTAATAAACATCTTAATAATTAAGAGTTCAAATTTTTATATTGGTGATATCGAATTTATATCTTAGAATGGATAAGAAAAGATTTGAAAAGAATAGAGTTATCTTTTATTATATGTCCTATTATTTAATGTACAAAAAGAAAAAAACTTATATTAATTCCATGAACAAACTAACAAAATGAGTTTCTTGTTAGAACAAGATAATCTCTTTCATCCCAACCATCACTACATATTAGTGCCATGAGAACTACAAGTAGAATGGAAAAGAGCACCAAACGCATTTTAGAACTTTTATTCTGACGGCTGATCTTGTTGCTAGACTCCAGAATTTCAGTTTTAATAACGGGAACTACCTCAAGAGACTCTTGCAGATTACCATCAGCAGGACTATCTGTTGATGATACAGATTCAGAGACACCTTCATATTGCTCGCCATTATTACATAAACTTTCCTTCCCGTTAACCTCATGCATCAGGTCATGTTGAAAACCATTTTGCCTTGGGGATGGGCAGGATTGGAATCTTCCAGAGGATGGACTTCTGAACCTCCTTGTTTGTTTTTCAGAGAAGTCTGACTTAACAATATTAGGGTCCTGAAGTGAGTGAATTAGCTTTCTTAGAGTAGTGAAGATGTTAATGTCATCAACGTGAAGTGAGTGAATTAGCTTCCTTGGAGTAGTGAAGATGTCAATGTCATCAACGTTGATGTGACATCGTGACCTCTGAAATATATGATGAGCAACCAGATCAATACCAGAAAAAGGAAATTGTATTGCAGTACATTACATTTGTAGAACTAGTTGGCACACAACATAACGAAATAAATTTGAGAAGCAATTCGGGAGGACAAATTTATCTGCTTGTGATGCTATCCTAAAATTGGCAAACTGGACTTTTTAGAAACTCCAGTTAAGTACTGGATGCAATTATCAAGAGTTAAACCAAATACACACACAAGTAAAAACCAATTATGTCTAGAATGCTGACAGTAGAAGCTACACCCATTTGCATAAAATCCCATATCCATGCTTAAGGAGGATATCCTAATAAGAAATTTCAAGAGAAAATACTGGCCAGAGAAAAAAAGGACGAAAGGGGAGTACAACTTTACCTGAGGACTGGGAGTGGTACTTCTCAGAGGTCCATTTCTAGGACTTCTCTGCAAGAACCCTGAAAATTCAACTGTGTTTTCTTCTCCATTACCAGTAAGTTCATGATGCTCAGAACGTGGGTCATAGATAGGAATACCCCCAGTTACCTCAGAGAACAAACCATCCCTGAGAGATACATCCACTTCATTTTCGTAACTCCAGAGCTTCCTGTTCACACTCCTACGATCATATCCCATATTATGAGAAACCTGAGTGGTTGAAACTGGTGACTCAACAAAAGAATCATATTCACCAAAAGAATCAACAGTATGTGATTCAGG